AAATCATTTACTTCTCAGACCAGCCCTCTGAGATAATAAATCTTTCCATTTTACAGTTTCCATTCATTTGACCAATATTTGCTGAGCACATTATCCTTTTCTAGGCTTCTATAGATAGTAGAAAAATAAATCAGATGTTTATACACAGAGAACTTACTGAATCATGTTACCTGAAGAGGTCTAGAAGTAGCTCTAGTTCAGTGATAGCTGGACCCTTGGCTCAAATGATACTGCCCAGCCCCCTCTCAGTTCACTTCCGCTGGACTGACTCCACTCTCAGGATCTTCATAGTGGCTCCCATAGCATAAGTCTCAAATTGTCATAACAAGCAGACTATAAGAGAAACTCTTCTCCCCTACAGGCTCAAAGCCTATAATCAAATTTCCTGGCCCCTAACTGGCCTCCCATTGGTCATCTGCCTCTCCCTGAGCCAGTCATTGTGGTCAGGGTGTTGTGATTTCATTGGCCTAACATAGATAACTTTCTCCATCCTTAGAGCCAGGGGGCTGCAGAAGTTCTGAAGTCCCTGTGCTGAGAGAACAGCATGAAAAGAACAGGTAGAAAAAGCCCAAAACTTAGTAAAAATTCCCATTAAGTTACAAGTTAGTCACTTTGTGTTCCATGGATTGGCTGAGATAAAGCTGGAAAGACAATTGGAACTCAGTTCAACACAGACTGGGCTCGGGTGGTAGAAGTCCTATATTCTATGCTGCATGGTTTTGACTGAATTCTGAAGGGAATGTTAAGCCTAGGAAGGAAAGAAAAAGAGAAAAAAAAAAAAAAAAAAAAAAAAAAAAAAAAAAAAAAAAAAAAAAAAAAAAAAAAAAAAAAAAAAACCAAGAAAGAATCCCAGGGCACAATGATATTTAGAGCAGTCAGAGGAATAGGAATCCATAAAGGAGGGTATTCAGGAAATTATCAGTAAGGCAGGAAGAAAAGTAGGAGAGTTATGTAATTGAAGCCAAAGGATGGGAATGTTTCAAAGAGCCAGAAGCAAAATGTGTCCAATTCAGAACAGATGTCAAGTAATAAAGGACCTGAAAGATGTCCCTTGGATTCACAAATAAAAGAGACAAGGAATTTAAGTGACCAAGGAGCATATTATCTAGAGCAAGAGAGGTAATGGTCAAGCGGGATAACAGGTAGTGATCAGAGAAGACCTGTTAAAGCTTAATATTTCAGAGTTAGAGGATAATGAAGTAAAGATAGCTTTAATCTGGAAAGATAATGAGTTTCGAGGCAAAGCTATTGGCTTAATGGATTTAATATGAAAAGGAGCATTGATTCCATTCCACTGGGATCGAAAAAGAAAAAAAAATAAATAAAATAAAAAAAGAAGAAAAGAAAAAAAGAAATAAAAAAATAATAATAATAAAAGAAGAAAGAAAAGAAAAGGAATATTGAGAAAGTCCCCAAATCTGTAAAAGTGAGAAGTGCCTGGGAATTTGTTAGTAAATATGTATGGAGAGATGGTTGTCATGAACCTCAGAAGAGGCAGCTTTTCCTAAGGAAGAAGGAACATAAAGGTGTAAAAGGAACATTAGGAACAATGAAGAACACTGACATTTCTCCCAGGCTTCATGGTTTGTGTAGGGCAAGGGGGAAAAATGCTCTCTTTTCTCCAGAGAGGACAGAAGGCAGAATCACAGGCTTTTCGCCATTTGGGGACCATTAAGTAAAAATTTTGATATTTTCTAAACCTTGTAGGTGTGTAGTAAATAATTTATAGGAAAGAATCTCTTGTCCAAAGAAAAGAAAGTTTGACCTTTGCCTTTGCTTTCTGAGACATCATCTGTGGGCCCTAGGAATGTTATGCCTGTTAGGAAGATCTTTGTTTGCCTGGAGACCTTGAGTCATATGGGATAGTCTAACAGTGTGATTTAGGATAGGGAGGTGGCCACACCTGCATAGTCTTAGGGTGGGGACTGGCCACTCCAGAAAGATCAACAATGTGACTTAAGGCAAGGGCTTTGGGTCATGTGGTATCAGTCAACTTGGAGGTAGAGATTAATGATGTGGGCAATCGACCAATTATGCCTGTGTGATGAAGCCCCGCTACAAATTCTGAACACTTGGGTGAGCTTCCCCGGGTGGCAAATCTTTGTGTGTGCATTGTCATTCAACAATACTGAGGGACTAACCTGTCCTGACTCCACAGGAAGAGGACAATAAAACCTCCACATTTGGTATTTACGGACTGATTCTGCCCTATGAACTTTCCTTGGCTAGTTGTAATCTGTATCCTTTCCTTGTAATAAACTATAACCCTAAATACAATAGCTTTCAGTGATGTCTGTGAAACTGAGGGTTCTACTCAAGGTTTTGATGCCCCTGAACTTGGTGTCAGAAGTAAGGGCAGTTTTAGGGAATGAGCCTTCTAACTTTGTAGTTGGCCTACTTCAAAGAAAGTGGGAAAAAATCTGCAGATTTAACTTTCTTTGCTTTCTTATAGAATACAGTTTATGTTTTAAGAAATCTGTGTACTTTTAAAATAAAACATTCATTAGGCTCTTTAACTCAGTGTTTATCTATAATAGGTTCATGAACTCATTCAGTAAATACTGAATTTAACTGAGAGCAATGAAAGTAGTTAGGAAAAAATCCACTTGAATTCTTTTTTGTGTACATTTACCAAACATTCACTATTAAAGGGAAAATACTTTGTTTTATATTAATAATTGTACTTACTAATTACATGATGTTGAGAAAACCACATAATTTCTTTGAGTTTCAGTGAGGTCTTTTCTAAAATTAAAGGTAATACCCTTTCCATAGATACTAATTCTAATTAAGGTTTAAGAATAAACTCAGCAGAATATATGTCAGAGTGTACCTCCATTATGACTCATAAAAATGCTACATGGCATGTGTGTGCATCCAAAGTAAAGGACGAAATCACAAATATTTTAAAATTGTAGCCTAGTACCTGGCATGCAGAACATGTTTCATAAATATTAACTGAAATAATGATAATCTAAGAATTTCATAAGATTCATGCTTTATAAATTTTTTTGACTGAAGATTAATGAGTAGCTAACATTTCTGAACCCAATTATTTTCTTAAGAAGCTAATTTTCTCCTCTGTGCAAATTTATGAGCTGAAGGTATTATAACAATCTTAGACAAATCACCACTATCAACTAGATTCTAGTTATCAATTCCATACAAATCATTGTTCTTGAATGTATATAGCTTTAAAAAATATGATAGAATCAAACTACCTTGGCCAGCCACAGTGGCTACTCACGTCTGTAATCCCAGCACTTTGGGAGGACAAGGCAGGAGGATCATGTAAGCTTAGGAGTTCAAGACCAGCCTGGGCAACACAGTGAGACCCCCTGCCTCTACAAAAAATAAAAATAAGAAAATTAGCTGGGCATACTGGCATGCACCTGTAGTCCTAACTACTTGGGAGGCTGAGGTGGGAGGATTGCTTGAGCCCAGGAGGTTGAGGCTACAGTAAGCTATGATCATGCCACTGTGCTCCAGTCTGGTCAACAAAGTAAGACTTTGTCTTAA